GGGGCGTGCCCCGGGCCATATAATTGGCCAGACCCAAGGGACCCCAGGAGGCGAGAATCCAGAAACAGCAGTTACTCCAGAAACAGCAGGACGCTGAGGAGGGGCGGGTAGAAACAATCCCCCTCACTCTGGCCCTGGGCAGTGTCACCGAGAAGGGAAGGACTTATCTGCCGAGGCACAGGGAGCTGAGTTGCCCTGACTGGATGCCACTGAGTGTCCACCCTCATCACACGGTACAAAAACAAATGCCTCTTGTAATAGTCTAAACTTCAATTTCAGGAAAAAAAGTGTTTCTTTTTTTTAAACCACCAATTCTTTACAAAAGAATGAACATGGACTTATCTTCCTTCCATCTATCCCCCTCCCCAGGAAAACACTGTATCTATCGATTTTTGGTGGTATTAATAAGTGTACATTTTCAGTACATGGAGAAGGCACAGAAATTTAGTTTTCAAGTGATGGTGTGATTGTGCTGTTTTTGTTTGGTGTTTGTCCCTGTGAATTTCAAAGGCCATGGATGGAAAAGCAAACACTTTTATAAAAATGGAGACCCTGATGCTTGGGTTATTTCTAACAGGACAGTCAAATCCTGGGAGGCCAGAGGCCAGACTTACCTGATGAATCACGTGAATTTAGGATGGGTGTCTTAATAAGCAGCAATTATGTTTGCATTTGAAAGAGGAGAATATGAAAAATATGATAAAAAGGTGTGTGTGTTTCTTTGGCAGAGGGCATGTCGGTCACCTTTCATGTCCAAAAAATAAGGAAAGCAGGAACCAAATTCAAAAAATATCTTTTCTACCTCTCCCTTTGGGGCTGAAGGGATAGGAAAGAAAACCAACTGCTGTCTGCTAGATCAGCCCGGTGATAGAGACACCCTCCTAGCTGGCCTGTGGGAAAGGCCAGAGCCAGGCGGGGGAGAGGTAAAGCTTTGGAAACAAGACAGAAAATCGTTGGCTTTATCTTTGCTAGGAAAGCTTCACAGATTGATCTCTCCCGCCTCATCCTTCTCCCAGAAGCCAGAGCTGAGCGAGGCCACTGGCAGCGGGAGGGGCCGTGCCGGGGTTGCAGCGGGGAGCAGGGCGCGCCGGCCAGAACCACAACGCGGTTATGTGTCTGGTCTCGTAGGGCTCGTGGTTTTCATTTCCCCAACACCTGGATGCAGTCAAACACCTGGCCAAATCTGACAGAATCTGACAAGCCTTTGTGATGGGATTTGGAAGAAATTCCCTGCAGATCCTGGCACAGTTTAAAGCTGTCCGCTTTGAGTTAGGACTTGTTAAGGAGGGTTATGTGAGCTGAAACCTGAGACAGGCCTTTTGCTTCTATCTGGAGCCCACATCTTGCCTGGAAATGGGGCATGACCAAGCGGAGGGGTCGCTGGCTCTTGTATTAAAAGGGGAAGACGGCCCGTGCGCCTGCCAGCACAGCCCCCACATGCTTTCTCCATTAGAGCCAAGCACAGCAACTTATCAGAAACACATGTCTGGGCTTGGGCTCCACTTGGGAGTCTAACTAGCTGTCCCTTGGCAGAAGGAATCTGTTGACCTTTCCAGCCTTCTTGAAGGTGCAGAGAGGCATTTCCAACCTTTGCACACTGGTGCTGGGCAATGTCTCCCTGCGCCTAAAGATGGGCTTATTATGGAAGCCCCACCCCCCCATGCTCCGAGGCAGGAGGCTGCAGCCATTAATAGGAGCAATTTTGCTGTGGGGTTGGTGGCTACCGGCCAGCAGAGACGCCCTTGGTGGGCAAAGGGCTGGAACACTGGATCCCTGCACTTCCAGAGTTCAGTCCTCAGGAGGAAGTAACAGAACAAGGACTACTGAATGACTTTAAACCAGTTTTTGAAATCCTTTAAGAGAATCATCACGGTGTTATCAGGGAAGCCTTATCAGATGAATTTTCATGTCAGATGGAACTCAGTTCGAGTGCTGGTGAAAGATTTGGCTTTAAAAAAACTTAACAAAAGAGATAATTTCTGAATCCCCACCTTACAAATGCTTCAAACTCCTCCACAAGCTGAAAGAATCAGTTCTAAGACATAAAAACCTTCACTCTTTTATTATACTTTCTCAAATAAACTTCCCCAAAGGAAGATATTTTAAGAGTATTTTCCAAACATCTTTGGCATCACATAAAGAAATCTCGTGTAAAAAACGAAATGTCATCTCAATTTTTATAATACAAAGGCGCAATCCAATATGAACATATAAAATATATACAAATATAGTGCATGGTCAGTCACTTAATACAGATCTCTACAAAAAAGTAACTTCTTTTAGGAATTAAAAAACAACAAAGTAACCACTGAATCACAAATCTTGTTTCCTAGTGTCCAAGTTGCAGTTTAGTGTCCGGAGGGAGAGGTGGATGGGGGATCAAGGGCAGCGCAGGCCTGAGCCCTTCAGTTCCGCCATGGCCTCCACATGGAGTCCGCCGTGAGCGCGGGACCGCTAGAAGGAGACACGGCGTTGGGACCCACCGAGGTCCCGCTGCTGCTGGTGTAGACGGGGATGACTGGGCCACTGTGCGCAAACGCCCCGTTGGGGATGAGAAAGGCGAACTGGCCATCGGGAGCCGGCACCACCTGGAAGCCTCCGAACACCTTGGCCGCCTCTCCAGCCTGGCTGCCCAGCTTGCAGGGAGCGCCGCCGGGAGGGGGCGCCGCGCCCCCGGGGATGGGCACGAGCGGCGGCGGCGCGAATGGCGCGTGCTGAGGGCCCCCTGCTCCGGGTGGTGGCGGCGGCGCCTGCAGGGCGGGGTGCGGCTGCCCAGGGTAGGTCATGGCGTTGATCTGGGTCATGCAGTTGGCCAGGTGGCCGAGCAGCCGGGTGCGCACCTCGGTGTTAACGCCCTCGCACGTGGACAGGAAGCGGGTCACCTCGTTCATGCACTCGCTGAAGCCGGCGCGGTACTTGCCCAGCACGCTCGGGTCTGTGCTCAGCGCGGCTGCAGGCCAGAACGAGACAGACGGGTCACCCAACGGCTCCGGCCCCAGGGCCACCGCCTCCCGCCCTGGGAGGTCCCCGCGCCGCGCCGCTCCTCCCTGACAGCGCGCCCGCGGAACGACCTCGGGCGAGGAGGGCGGGGGAGGCTTGGAGCCATCTCGCCACACTGGCGTGGCCACCGAAGCTCAGACCCCCCACCCCGGTCCCCTTTCGCTGTATTTAAACCGATCTCTGCCCCACAGCTGTCTCCCCCACCCTCCCGCGCGACGTGGCCTTGAGCAACACCACCCCATCCCCACCCGAGTTTCATTTCCCGTTTGCAATGGGGGATGGGCGAGGGCAAAACCCGATGACCCTCGGGCCAGCTCCCAACTGCCACCGGCCTCTGCTCAATCCCTTCCTCCGCAGCCAGGCTGCCCGCCACCCTCGCGGCTGCGACCTTCTCCCCCTCCCCTTCCGGAACAGTAACAATTTGGAGTTGCGGCTATAAATAAGACCCAGACCGTGGGAACGCGAGAGGGAGCCAAGGCAGTAAAATGGAGCTGAAAGCCTCTCACAACCGCGGGCGGAAGTCTGGAAGGGATCAGCGCGCGGCGCGGGGGACGCGCGCACAGGGCACACGGCGGCGACTGGCCTCACCCGTCATCTGCGCTCGCTGCAGGTTCCGGAGGTGCTTCACTGTCATCTCCAGAATGTCTGCCTTCTCCAGCTTGGAATGCCGGGAGCTCTAAGCACAGGAGGAAGCCAGGAGGAAAATCAGCCCCTGTCTGCCAGCTGCCTCGCAGAGCCGAGCGGGATCCCCTATCCAGGGTGCGGGACCCAATCCCGCGTCCAGGCACCCGGAGACGGGCTCGGGCCTCCCGCCTAGGACGGCGCGGTGCAGGCGGGGTAAGACCCTCGCACCGTAGGCGAGGGGCTTTCACGCTTTGTGCCTGAGAAACAGCATTTCGTATTTTTAATTTTTTAAAAAGCTTTCCCCACTTACATCTTTTTTAAGAGCATCCAAAATCAGTGTTTTCAGCTGGCTCAGGCTTTCATTTATTCTTGCTCTTCGTCTTTTCTCCATGATAGGCTTTGATGACTGCAAAGAAATTTTAAAATTTAATAAAAACAAACCCGAGTTCCCATGGGATCTGCCATTTCACGCTCGGGTTTTAAGAAGGAAAAGAACCCCCACCCCAATCCATCGTAATTTCTTGGGGCGCTGCAGAGATTCCCGGGTATCGCCCTTACCTTTCTGTGCTCTGATGCTGTCTTTGGTTTATCCGGTGTCGTGTTGACACTGGCAGGGGTAGCAGCCACCGGGGAAGAGGAATTTTTCTCCATTATATCAGCTGGCATTTTCTTTTCCTTTTTTTTTTTTTTTATAATCCCTAGAGAATTTTATTTTTGGACTACTTCACCCAAAAAAAAAATTTTTTTTTTTTTTGCTTATATCCCTTTTCCTTGAGATTTTCCTAAAACTACTGAGCAAGTGCTGAGTGTATTATATAATATTTTATGGCTACTCGGTAGCGCTATTCCAGGACCAAGGAGAGAGGTAGACGGGGGAATCCACTGTTATCAGCACCGGCTCCGGATCCTGTGTGATCCCCAGGCCCTGGCGGCCTCTATATATATCTGGGACTGCACGCGAACGGCTCGTGTGAAACTTCCCAAACTTTCTTTCCCACAGTAACTTTCAGCCAATGGGAGGAGGAGACACGCGGCACCGCTCGTGGACCGCGCCCCCCCATTGGCCGCCAGGCACAAGGTCTGGCGGCCAATGGCGCGCGCCTGAGCCCGGGGCACCGGAGGCTACAACGTCAATCAAAAGGATTTTAACCCTTTGCTACTCTCTCTTATGGGTTTTGCTTTACTGAGGATTTTTGTGTTTGGTTTTTGGCCTGGTCTATTTCTTTTGGGGCCAAGGTCTTTGCTCTTTATTCTCTTTGCTAGGTATAATACAGTTACTCTGTAATCATTTGAGATACATTTTTAAGAGAGTGTAACAAGAAAAAAGACTGCAGTGATTAGGAGCAGGGGTGCGCTGCTGCCATGGCGTGTTACAGACACAGATGTGATTTCCCGCTCAGATGCTATATATTGGGGAGGGGGACTGTGAAAGTGGATCGTGCAGTATTTTAAATTCCTTTCTGCAGCTAAAGAAATGCCTTCCACTCTTCCGTCTGCAAATGAGCAAGGTGCCTGGTCGCCCCTCCCCAGCCCTTCCTTCCTCTTTTGCAGCCGGGGCCGCGGACCCCCAAGCTTTCCGAGGAAGCAGAATCATTTCCAACCGGGTAGAAGGGAAAGGAAATTTCAAATGAAAAATGAACAGGGGGGGGCCGGGAGGGCAAGGCCACCCTTTCCAGTTCCACCCACCGGCTCTCCGCGCTG